TCAAGAAGTTTAATTATGGTTTGTTGTAGTTAACGATGTCTTGTTTCCAATTTTATTAACAGATTAACAGTTATTTTATTGATTCTCAGGCATATTTCAGAATATAACACAATAGATCTATACAGAATCAACATATTTACCCTGTTAACAAACACACACCATGCAGCATGATGTTTATTGAAATGGCTGTTTTTTGTTTTTCCTGTTTTCTTTATTTTCTGTTATAAGTACGTTTTTAATAACACCTAGCCTATGTTCATTCCTCTGCGAAAGGGGCTATAAATAGGTAAGATGCTCACCAGTGTTTAATGTGCACACGTCACAATCTAATTATTTGCACTAAAAAGAACGTCTGTAGAAACTCAGCTTTCCTGAAGGCATGTTTTAACCGCTGATGACTCAGTATGTGATGCTGAATATAAAAGCTGCTTCTAAACAACCAGAAGTTGTTGGATTATATTTAGTTTTAGTTTGTTTGTATTAGACTGTTTGACATTTCCATAAAATGTACAGTTACTTGGAGCCTCTAAATGTTATTGTGATGTATGTAAGATTTAAAGATTACATAGCTTTACTGGTCGTTTATAATGAACGAAAGCCTCAAAAACCGTATGCATTTCTATTTGGGCAGTTCCATCATATTGCACATTTATATGCACATATAGATGTCTTTATTATGGTATGGCTATATTCAGACACTCCTCTTCCAGCTCCTGAAGCATCCGACTCCTTTGTTTTCACACTGTTATGCCATTAGCACTAATGCTTTCTCTCCAGGGCCTTTGAAGAGAAGGTAAGCAAGTAACCTAAATCTGTTTGAAGCGCAAGCGAGAGCATATTTCACTCCAGCTCTGATTTTGCTGTGCAGTTAAGGGTCCATTTACATCCATTCCCTCACACGCTCTCTCCCCTGACGAACCTCCCGTGTGTTTCTCACGGCTGACGCGCTCGTGTGGGCCTTATTGAAGCCTTTGGGAGGGATGAAAAGAGAAATATCATATCCAATAACTAATGGAGACAAGAGCGTACTTTTTTCGTAGTAACAGGCTCTCGCTCACCTTAGATTCTGGCTCTGTTTCAAAACTTAGTGAGCTGCCTTTTCTAGTTTAAGTCCTACGTAGGAGAGACTTTTTAAGGCAACATCCAAAATGAAAATAAACCTAACAAGGGACTAATGTGGCACACTAGATTGTGATAGAAATGGTGCTCCTTTCTGGTGTCATTTTATTTATATACTATTATAGTAGAGGTTTTATATTTTACTAGTGTTTTATAATAGTTTATTTTGTTAGTTTATTTTTTATTTCAACATATTTAGCTTTTTTTATTTTTCAACTTATTTTAGTTTGTAATGTTTATATATTTTATTTTTTATATATTAATTTTATTTTAGCTTTATTTCGACAGAACAAAAATGATTTTTCAGGTGTCGTTGATTACAGTGCTTATTTTGTGGTCTATAGCTTTTTATTTCATTTTTTAGTCATTTTAGTATTTCTACTTGTTTCAGTTGCAAGGTAACGTTTCTAACTTTCGTTTGTTTATATTTAGCTTTATTCTTATTTCAGTTTAAAAAAAATTTTGTTTCTAGTTTCTAAGTTTTTAGTCTAATATTTGTTGTTAATGATTTAAGATTTTTTTTTTTAGTTAATAAAACTGCTCCTTTTGTCAAGTCAATATTTAGCTTTAATTTATTTTTCAGTTTTATTAATTTTAGTACTTTAACTTTTCTCAGTTAGTTGCCATACTTTTTTTTAATTTTGGCTTTATTTTTTTAGTTGAAGAAATTTTAGTTTATTTAATTTTGTTTACATTTGTATTTAGCTTTACTTTTTCAGTTTTCATTTTAGTACTTAAGCTTTTTTCAGTTAGTTTTTCATCTAATACTTGTGTATTTTGTTTTCGTTTTTTTTTTCCAAGTAAAAATACACTGAAAATAAACATTTGACCATTTTTATTTGGTACTTTTTTCATTTGTGCACCTTTGATGCCCCAAAATGCTGTTTAGGTAGTCGACCGACGAGGTTTTGGATCAGAGCGGCTGTCTCTTGGTCTCACACCATTGCTTCAAACGTGTGTTCCCTCAGCATCAGTCATGCTTTACAGTGATCTGACCCCTCTGTCTCTGTTATTGTTGGTTTCCCCACCATATCACCATATTGGAGTCAGTTTAATGCCTTTAGTTTGGTGAAATTAAACCATAGGTTATTGGATCCCTTAATCGTCCGGAATCAGGATGTAACTTTATTTTGACTTTTCTTTCCTGCTCTAACAGATTATTATACATCAGCCTTCAAGAGTGCCTCCGTTTTCAATAACGTCACGCACAGCCAGACTTGAGGAGTAACATTTACCACCTGACCCTGTGTTTTTCTATTTTATGTTACTGTAAATTGCATTATTGCGCATTTAAAAAAATCTTTAGGTATGTTCCATTTTGCATACTCTACTATTCTATGAATGTATTTGTTTTT